TTTTGGTCTTATTACACACAGAAAATTGCCCTCTTGAGCCTGTTAATTGTCCAAATGTAGATCTACGTTCTTACTGCCAGCGCTCCAAACGTATTACCTGGAGTTTACCTGGAGAGAGTTCCGGGGATCAACACCCCCGCAGCCCGGTCCGTGACCAGGCCTCATGGTGGATCAGGGCCTGATCAACCAGACTGTTACTGCTGGCTGCACGCAATCCAACGTACGAGCCACAGCCCGGCTGGTCAGGTACCGACTTTAAGTGCTTGTCCAGTGCCTGCTTGAAGACAACCAGGGGTCTATTGGTAATCTCCCTTATGTATGCAGGGAGGCAGTTGAACAGTCTTGGGCCCCTGACACATATTGTGTTGTCTCTTAACGTGCTAGTGACACCCCTGCTTTTCATTGGGGGATGTTGCATCGTCTGCCAAGTCTTTTGCTTTCATAGTGAGTGATTGTTGTGTGCAAATTCGGTACTAGTCCTTCTAGGATTTTCCAGGTGTATATAATCATGTATCTCTCCCGCCTGCGTTCCAGGGAGTGCAGGTTCAGGAACTTCAAGAGCTCCCAGTAATTGAGGTGTTTTACCTCCATTATGCATGCTGTGAAGATTCTCTGTACATTTTCTAGGTCAGCAATTTCACCTGCCTTGAAAGGTGTTGTTAGTGTGCAGCAATATTCCAGCCTAGATAGAACAAGCGACCTGAAGTGTCATCATGGGCTTGGCATCCCTAGTTTTGAAGGTTCTCATTATCCATCCTGTCATTTTTCTAGCAGATGTGATTGATACAATGTTATGGTCCTTGAAGGTGAGATCCTCCGACATGATCACTCCCAGGTCTTTGACGTTAGTTTTTTGCTCTATTTTGTGGCTGGAATTTGTTTTATACTCTGATGAAGTTTTAATTTCCTCATGTTTACCATAGGGGAGTAACTGAAATTTCTCATCGTTGAACTTCATATTGTTTTCTGCAGCCCATTGAAAGATTTGGTTGATGTCCGCCTGGAGCCTTGCAGTGTCTGCAATGGAAGACACTGTCATGCAGATTTGGGTGTCATCTGCAAAGGAAGACACGGTGCTGTGGCTGACATCCTTGTCTATGTCAGATATGAGGATGAGAAACAAGATGGGAGCGGGTACTGTGCCTTGTGGAACAGAGCTTTTCACCGTAGCTGCCTCAGACCTCACTCTGTTGACTACTACTCTTTGTGTTCTGTTTGTGAGTAAATTACAGATCCATCTACCAACGTTTCCTGTTATTCCTTTAGCACGCATTTTGTGCGCTATTACGCCATGGTCACACTTGTCGAGGGCTTTTGCAAAGTCTGTGTATATTACATCTGCATTCTTTTTGTCTTCTAGTGCATCTAGGACCTTGTCTTAGTGATCCAGTAGTTGGGACAGACAGGAGTGACCTGCTCTAAACCCATGTTGCCCTGGGTTGTGCAATTGATGGGTATGTAGATGGGTGGCGATCTTGCTTCTTAGGACCTTCTCAAAGATTTTTATGATGTGGGATGTTAGTGCTATCGGTCTGTAGTTCTTTGCTATTGCTTTACTGCCCCCTTTGTGGAGTGGGCTATGTCTGTTGTTTTTAGTAACTGTGGGACGATCCCAGTGTCCATGCTCCCTCTCCATAGCATGTTAAAAGCACATGATAGGGGCTTCTTGCAGTTCTTGATGAACATGGAGTTCCATGAGTCTGGCCCTGGGGCAGAGTGCATGGGCACATCACTTATCGCCTGTTCGAAGTCATTTGGCATCAGGATAACATCAGATAGGCTTGTGTTTACCAAATTCTGTGGCTCTCTCATAAAAAATTCATTTAGATCTTCGACTCTCAGTCTGGTTTGCAGATTGATAAAAACTGAGTCATATTGGGACTTAAGTAGCTCACTTATTTCCTTGCTGTCATCTGTATAGGACCCATCTTGTTCAAGCAGGGGCCCAATACTGGATGTTGTTCTCGACTTTGATTTCACATAAGAAAAGAAATACTTTGGGTTTCTTTCGATTTCATTTATGGCTTTTAGTTCTTCCCCACGATTCCTGACTCCTATAAGATTCCTTTAGCTTTAGTTCGATGTTTGCTATTTCTCTGACCAGTGTTTCCCTATGCATTTCAGATATACTGGCCTCTTTTAGCTGCTCTGTTATTCTTTTCCGTCGCCTGTAAAGGGAGCGCCTGTCGCTTTCTATTTTACATCTACTCCTCCTTTTTCTTAAAGGAATATGCCTTGAGCATACATGGAGTGCCACAGAGTTAATCTGTTCGAGGCATAAGTTGGGGTCTGTGTTGCTTAGTCGTATATCAATATTTTATTTTTCCTGCCTCCAAATTTGGCACGATTGGCCTGAGATGCCTGGTCAGTACAGAATGGGTCTTAACACTCAGTGTGCACAGTATTAAAAAAATCTGGGACCATTTAGTACCTTGTGGGAGCACCAGTACAAGTGAGCGCCAGATAAAGCAAACAGCATGGCAAACACCAGAAATTCACCGATGTCATGTCTTACTAACACTCCCCTTTAAAGAGAAAAGTGATGTTGATCCCGAGTTTAGTGGCTTTGAGATGGCTGTGGCCACAAGTGGTCGAGGAAATATCAAAAACCTCGATAATAAACATTGTGCAACATTTGTGCAACATCCTTTCAATTTTGATACTTTTGATTCTTTAAATTTTGGTAGTGTCATCCTGCCAGAATGCCCTATAACCTATGCCCTAAGTAAAGAGAAACAATTCTGAAACATGTGTAATAAGTGTTTGGCTGGCTGGGTAGGTGGCTGACTGACTTTGGCTGTCTCTATCTCCGTCTGTCTGTGTGTATCTATCTCTGCCTGTCTCTGCCCATCTCTGTGTCTGTCTCTATCTCACAGGTACACATAAATAATTATCATACATAGTGTAAATTACCTAGGATAAGTCAAAAAAAAAATCCAGACAAAGTGCTATACAGTGCTTGTAGATATAAGGCATAATAAGCATGACTGGCAAGTAATACACATTTTCACCTGTTCAGGAATCAGACGTGACGACTCTGCATCATGTGTAAGATCTGTTAGTTCATGAGCAGCTCTCTGAGACAGAAAGAGAGACAAGAAGACAGACACACAGACAGACAGATAAGCAGAGACAGCTAGACAGACTAATAGACTGACAGACAAATAGACAGACAGACAAATAGACAGACAGACAAGTAGACAGACAAATAGATAGACAGATAGACAAACAGACAAAGAGATAGACAGACAAACAGACATGAAAACAAACAAAGTCAAGGCAGTGCACTATCATCAAATGTCACTCCACTGCTGCACTGTCAGCAGTGGAGTGACAGTCTTACACTATGCTTCAAGGAGTTTCATATATACTCCAGCATGTCTAAAACATTGCTGGGACCTATAAATACTTTGTATACATTTCTAGACAATAGTAGGTGACCAAGGCAGGTGAAAATATTCACCTGTCAGAGCATTTGTGACTATCTGAGTGCTATTCAGTACCTAATATTAGTGTCAGAACAAACATTGGCTATGAAATCACAAGAATTGTAATTATCAGAACATAAAAATTACATAAATTAAAAAAAAAAATGTGAAGAATAGGTATATTGGCAACACTTCTGCAAGCGACAGGACTCTATGCTGCCGTCAGGTGAGCATCCAGCACCAACTTTGTGGTCTTGTATCTCGGTAAGTGCTGAACCTAAATTTTTTTTTCTTATTACACACAGAAAATTACCCTCTTTAATTTAATTTTTTTTTTCCAAAATATTCAGAGCGCTGGGCAAGAGAATGTAGATCTATGTTTGGACAGTTAAGGGGTTAAAAAAAAAAAAAAAAAAAAAAAAACAGAGCACTTGCAGTGAGAATGTAGATCTACATTTGGACAGTTAATGGGTTAAACCAATGCTTTTTGCTGATGGCACTACTATCATTATATCAGACACACAAAAAAAAAAAAAAGTCTGGCCTTTGGATGACAACAAATTTGCACTTAGTATAGTACTGTACAAAAAAAACATACAGTAATATAATTTATTTGTAAATAAATTGAGCCAAGTGAATGTATAATAAAATATATGAAAACTGAAAGAAAATATGGAGGTGTATACTTGGAAAATAAATTTAAATTTAACACTAATAAATACAAAATCAAAGAGTAATATTTGTGCATAGTTCATGTTCTCAAAATACTGGATGTTCAACTAATAGAAAGTATGGTTAAGCACATCAGTATTTTGGGTTAATTATTATTTAGCCAATTCAATAAAACATGCTACTGTGAGTATTTGGATACCATACATCAACCCAAATGAAGATGGCAGATCTATTCCTACACAATTCATTCCTCATCATATTCTCATAGCAATCACTGTGGCTTAAAACAGCACATGGAACACAACAGTGTATTTCACATTAACTATTGCATCTTTGCTTCCAATCATGTCCCATTTTAATGTTCTACAAAATATAATTATTGTACTATGCTCTGCCTTTCATTAAATTTCTTGGTTTTGCAGACCATTCCATGTTTTTTACCTGTTGAATTCTAAACTGATTTTTCTCATTACCAACCTTCCCTACATAAACAACTAATTTAGAAGCCCTTTTGGCAATTAAATTTGTCAACTCTGCCTACACAGTAATTCTAACCCTAACTTTCAGTACTTCCAACTATAAGTTAAATCTCTTCAAAGTCAACAAATGCTTCTTATCTAACTGCATAGTGTCTGGTAAATATTTGTTTATAAATTTATAAATGTTTATAAATTCTCTTGTATTCACTGTAACTCTTAAATTTATTTTTACAGCCACCTAAGAGACTGTATATGAAAGCAGCATTCAATTAGTCACTGACTTATTAATCTTAAATTTGCCTGAAGTGCTTTGCATACTAAGGGGCTTTCTTCATGTACACCTAAATGTCATTTACCTCTGTACAAACATTGTATCATGTTAAAATAAAGAATCTTAGTCTTAATCTTAATAAGTTCTTACCAATAGCTTCACCACATTTCTTTTCACATTCCTGCCGTGATGAGAAGCGATTTTCATTTCCATCACAGCCTCCATACAAGAACTGTTTACATACACCATCCTGACTATCAAAATGCCAATAAGCTTGTAAATTTCCACAGGTTCCTTGGTGTTTTTCGAGGAAGCAAAATTCTGCAAATAAAGGAAATATATCCATGGTAAATTACTGGTAAGTACCACTAATAAATGGAAATTTCTTGAGGTAGAATAAAGAGACAAGTTAGCTATGCATACATACATCAGCTGGGATGTCACAGGTGCAAAATGAGAAAGAAAAAAATGCCAAAAGTATACAGTAGTGCCCCACTCTATGGTGCTTCGCCTCACAGCGTTCCGCTAATGCAGACATTTCAAATTATAACCAAAACTTGCTATATGGCTCCTCCCACCTGACTTTCTAATATGGTCACCACAGGCCACAGGGTTTGTTTATATTCTCTGTGAGCAAGACTCTCTATTATGTCTGAAAATTTTCCAAAATTTCAAGTATTTTAAACGTATTTCATATTTTATATATACAGTGGAACCTCTACTTGCGAGCGTGTCCACGTGCGAGTTTTTCCAAATACGAGCAGTCAATGGGTTGATTTTTTGCTTCCATATGCGAGCAGACCTCAAGGCAGGTTCCTTGACCCTGGTGAGGGGCTCTTGCTCTTGATCTCGGGAATTGTATCTCATTTGTTTGTTGGATTATCTTATTGAAACTTGGGCAATGTATGATGGAAAGATGCTTCTTAACGTACACCAAAAATGAAAGAAATCTAAGCATAAATAATGGAGTTCACTTCTCAGCAATTAGCCACCCCTTAGCGGTAATTTCGAATGGTTTTTATGGTTATTTTCTCGTTTTTTTTGGTCTCATTTGATAGAATGGAGATATATTACAGAAATAGATATGATTTTAATTGCTTTCATGATGAAAAGTACCTTGAAATAGAGCTCAACCTAGGAGAAATGATCCATTGCTTGTTTCAGAGTAAACAAATGACGTCACTGTACATTCCAATATGCAGTCGTGAATAGGTTGACATTATTTATACAATTATTGCAATAAGGAATAACAGTAAATCTTATATTTTTTGTGTGAATAAAAATTACAAATTATTTATATAATAATAATAATAATAATAATAATAATAATAATATAATATGTATAATAATATGTATAATAATAATAGTATAATAATATAATACAATAATAATCATAATAATAATATAATATGTATAATAATAATATATATAATAATAATAATGTACTACATATAATAATTATAATAATAGATGGCCTCAAAAGGCAGTCACTAGATGGCAGTGTTTACCACAACAAAGTGGGAGTGGTTGTGGCCGCCTCCACCTGTTACATAATGACATATTTTATTCATTCTAGAGTATATATCATGTTTCTATGTTTTTTATATTGTTTGTTATGTCATATTAGATGAACTTTGATATATAAATAAGCCGTATAGATAATATTAGCGAAATTTTTCATGAAGTATTTTGCCCGGTCTCCAGACAAACTCGTCCACCACCGACACTGCCCATACCACTACATGAATGACATATTTTATTCATTCTAGAGTATATATCATGTTTCTATGTTATTTATATTGTTTGTTATGTCATATTAGATGAACTGTGATAGATAAATAAGCCGTATAGATATTAGCTAAATTATTCATGAAGTATTTTGCCCAGTCTCCAGACAAACTCTCGTCCACCGCCGACACTGACCATACCACTACATGAATGACATATTTTATTCATTTTAGAGTATACATCAGGTTTCTATGTTATTTATATTGTTGATTATGTCATATTAGATGAAGTGAGATAGATAAATAAGCCGTAGATTTGATATTAGCAAAATTATTGAAGTACAGAATTCCACAGGAGTTTACCTGGAGAGAGTTCCGGGGGTCAACGCCCCCACGGCCCGGTCTGTGACCAGGCCTCCTGGTGGATCAGAGCCTGATCAACCAGGCTGTTGCTGCTGGCTGCACGCAAACCAACGTACGAGCCACAGCCTGGCTGGTCAGGAACCGACTTTAGGTGCTTGTCCAGTGCCAGCTTGAAGACTGCCAGGGGTCTGTTGGTAATCCCCCTTATGTATGCTGGGAGGCAGTTGAACAGCCTCGGGCCCCTGACACTTATTGTATGGTCTCTTAACGTGCTAGTGACACCCCTGCTTTTCATTGGGGGGATGTTGCATCGTCTGCCAAGTCTTTTGCTTTCATAGTGAGTGATTTTCGTGTGCAAGTTCGGTACTAGTCCCTCTAGGATTTTCCAGGTGTATATAATCATGTATCTCTCCTGCCTGCATTCCAGGGAATACAGGTTTAGGAACCTCAAGCACTCCCAGTAATTGAGGTGTTTTATCTCCGTTATGCGCGCCGTGAAGGTTCTCTGTACATTTTCTAGGTCAGCAATTTCACCTGCCTTGAAAGGTGCTGTTAGTGTGCAGCAATATTCCAGCCTAGATAGAACAAGTGACCTGAAGAGTGTCATCATGGGCTTGGCCTCCCTAGTTTTGAAGGTTCTCATTATCCATCCTGTCATTTTTCTAGCAGATGCGATTGATACAATGTTATGGTCCTTGAAGGTGAGATCCTCCGACATGATCACTCCCAGGTCTTTGACGTTGGTGTTTCGCTCTATTTTGTGGCCAGAATTTGTTTTGTACTCTGATGAAGATTTAATTTCCTCGTGTTTACCATATCTGAGTAATGGAGTAATTATTAAATGCATTTCAGTTAATTTAAATGAGGAAAATTGACTCTGCAAACGAGCAAATCCAGTTACAAGCAAGATCATGGAACGGATTAAATTCGCAAGTAGAGGTTCCACTGTACTCTGATAATTATACTTACGTGTACCTGTAGCTAAATAAGCCTACTGTGCTGGCGTGCAGGCACACATTGAAGATGCCATATTAATAATAAGAATAATAATAATAACACAATAATAATCACTCTGAGGGGCATTAAATGTTGTATAAAACATTAATATAAACATTTTGCTTCATCCATCTATGATATTTTTTTTTCAAAATTATATAATAATCACGCTATGTAACATATAAACACGATAAATACATCCGGAATAGAATAAATTAACATAAATATGAGATGTTTTTCCAATCGTCTTGTCAAGAGTGTTGGAAATAATAACATTTTCTCTAGGCCAACACCAAATAAGATGTGTATACAATAGTATTACTGGGAGTAACTGTATAAAATTATTCCTTTCGTATGCCTTCACTCAGAGCATCATTCCTTCTAAAAATGGTGCATTACATGAGAATGGGAGTGTTGCTCTTTATTTATTCTGCTGTACCAACATGGAGACAGCTTGTACACAATGTCAGGTATTTGTATTATGATATATGCTCTACAAATATGGAAATGAATGTGCATCAACCCACCAGGTTGATACATGTCTGTCTGTTTACATGCCCTGTGGCTCTGTCCTCTCTCGTTTACTCATTCTCTCCCTCTCTCGTTTATTCGTTTTATCTCATTTACTCACTTCTCACCCTACATTAAGACTACAAATATTTTAAGGTAAGTAATGAGTGTACTGTATATGCATTTTATCACTCTAGGATGCTGTAAATGTCATAGTATATTACGTGTAGGTGGGGTGGCCAGATGGCTACCGTACCTAACACACCTGACTTTCTACAAATAAATACTATCCATCTCTCTCCCTACATTAAGACCATTAAGACTACAAATATTTTAAGGTTAGTAATGAGTGTACACTATATTAATTTTATCGCTCTAGGGTGCTTTAAATGTTGTAGTATAGTACATGAGGTTGGGGTGGGGTGGCCTGGCTGGTTACCATACCTATCACTCCTGACTTCTTGCAATAAACAATACTCACCTCTCACCCTACATTTAGACTCCAAATATTTTGAGGTAAGTAATGAGTGTACAGTGGTACCTTGACTTACAAGTGCCCCAACTTATGAGTTTTCCAAGTTACGAGCAGTTACTCGGTCAATTTTTTTCTTTGAGTTGCAAACCAAAATCCGAGTTACGAGCAAGCTTCAGATATTCTACAAAAAAAAAGTTGTTAAGTTTTTGACATTTGCAAAGTATCTTGACCTTTACTCCCATGCGAATCCCAAAATATCTGGAATATTTCCAATATTCCACAAGCCAATTGTAGAACAATCATTTTTTATGATTTCTGTCAATATTATTGCATTTACTTCAATAATAAATGATGGGCTTCATGAAATAAGTCAATAACTTACTTTCAAGATATTCACTGAGAATGCGGGCCGGCCTCTAGTGCAGTTAAGCCTCTCAAAAACTCCGTTTTTTCTTACCCAGGACCAAAGAACACATTATAGGAAGGAGTAGTAATGATTTTATATGCTCAGACTGGTCCTGGACACTTGCCATATTATGGCCTATTTTATTCATTCTAGAGAATATATCATGTTTCTATGCTACTTATAGTATTTATTATGTAATATTAGATCAATGCTGATAGATAAATAAGCCGTAGAATTGATATTAGCATTATACTGAAGTATTTTCTCCTGCCCACTCGAGACTCGGGAATTCTGTTAACGTAAGCAAGTGTCTCACCTCCGAGGTAAATACACTTTTTAAAACCAGCTTATTTTTTTACATTCTCTTTTATTATGCTTTTATACAACATTTCTTATTTATAAATACATTTTTCTCACTTAAAAACCTACAACAAAAAAATTGGGGTGGCTTTTTGGGGGCTGGAATGGATTAATGGCATTTCAATTAATTTCAATGAGAAAAATTGATTTGATATACAAGCAAATTGAGTTATGAGCTCTGTCACGGAACGAATTAAACTTGCAGTCAAGGTACCACTGTACTGCGTATTTTACTTTTTATTGTTTTCTTTTAATGCCTAGTTCTATTGCTAACTTAATATATGTAGTGTAAACTTATTATCTGTGCTTTCTGGCGATGTCCACTTTCCGGTGGTAGCCTGGAACCTAACCTGCTGTATAAGTGAGGACCTACTGTACTTGAAGTACATAATAAATGAAACTAGATCCAAGAGGAGGTACTAAATGCTACAATTAATAGAAATTTAAAATTATGACAAATTAAACGCTTAAGATCGCATACCATGCACTCAGGTCTGCTCCTGTAGTTACAAATACCAGGAGGTAATTACATGGTATACAATACCGACAGGGACATGACCTCCCAGTGGCTACATTCTCACTACTACTACTCTGCACCTCTCCTTCCGACAGTATTTAAGTCTCAACACTATTGCTTGATCTTCAGTTAGTTCCAGACTTTGGAACAGAACTTCTCCAGGCTGAGGGACTGACAACCTCAAATCTACGACTTCAAGGGTGATGGACTGATTACATCGTCTTCATATCTCTACTGCTCCTGCCTACTTTCTGTACTCGACTGAAGAAACCTACTGTGTAGGCGAAACGTTTTGGAATAAAGTTGCCTAAATGTTGCCTATGTGTCTTATCTACCAGGTAATTACATAAGTTCAAAAATTAAAAGGAAGAAAGTAGTAGAAGGAAAAATGTTCATTACTGACAGAATAATCATATTATCATTATCATAATTATGTTTAAATACAACTGTAAACTTTACTAACTTACCATTATTGATTCAAAAGATTTACTTAAACCAAAACTGTTGAAACACTTTTATTTACAATCATCAAGTGTCAATAGCTAATATCTAAAGAAACACATACCTTGATTAAAGTCTTCTTCAGACGAAATATCCTTTTTACTTCCACAATAATTCATACATACATCTAAAGTGCCAAAATTGTTGTAATTGCCACCACATCCACTATAGACAAAGGATTTGCACTGATTATCAGACATATCGAAGTACCAACGTGCTTCAAAGTTGTTGCAGTCACCAGCAACACTAGGAAGAGAGCAGATATCCTCCACTGGTTCTGTGTTAAAACAAACAGGTAATTCAGTCTTCTATTTTTATTCCTGTTTTTCAATGAAAGCACTGATTGAAAAATATAGTTTCCTATTAAAATTTTGATTAAGAAATGATGAACCAAAACAATAAATTTATTAACCTTTAATAGTGATTCCAATTTTAATTTTTTGAAATCTTTTGATACACAGTACTTTTACAATTACAATATAGATACAATATAATTTAATGTGTGCATATATTGCAGCTAGATATTATTATACGATAAATGTTATGTCAATCTATTACATATGGGATTTTAATTTTTTTTGTGTTGCTTTCACTGGATTTTTTCTATCTGCTTTACAAGCATTTACTGCAAGTGAGACAAACTTAATGAAAGAAAGGCAATACAAAATACAGTGGACCCTCTGTTTTCGTTAGCCTCTGATTTCGTGATTTTCGGTTACTGCCGACTTTGTTTATCAAAATATAGTCTCTGTTTTCGTTAATTCCCTCTGGTTTCACTGGTCATATGGAACAATTCTGAGTACCCGTGTGCACACAAAGCCTCTCACACAACATTCTGAGTCAGTGTGGCATTGTTTCTCGGCGAGTGAACATTACCCTGTGAGGTCATACGAATCATTTTGTAATAATACATTTTTTTTGCACTTGTTTATTGTGTGTGACTGCTAAATAAGCCACCATGGGCAAAAGAAGCCTCCTAGTGCCAGACCTTTTGTAAAGAAGGTGAGAAACACAATAGAATTCAAGAAAGAACTCGTAGAAAAATATGAAAGTGGCATATGTGTGGCAGACCTTGCCAGGATGTATGGAAAACCCGTATCAGTTCAATCATGGTGAAGAAAAAAGAAATCAAGGAAGCTGATGTGAAAGGGGTAAATATGCTAATGAAACAGAGATCACAGACAATCAAAGACGTGGAGAAACTATTGTTGGTGTGGCTCAACCAAAAACAGTTAGCGGGAGATAGTGTTGTGCAGGCGATTTGCAAAAAGGCAAGGCAGTTGCATGGGGATCTTGTAAAGAAAATGCCTGGAACAAGTGCTGCTGTTAGTGAATTTAAGGCCAGCAGAGGCTGGTTCAAAAAATTCAAGAAACGTAGTGGCATACACAGTGTTGTAAGGCATGGCGAGACTGCAAGTTCAGACAAAAGTGTGGCTTAAGAATTCGTGCATGAATTCAAGGAGTATGTAGAGGCTGAAGGATTCGTCCCCCAACAAGTGTTCAGTTGTGATGAAACAGGCCTCTTTTGAAAGAAAATGCCAAAGAGGACCTACATCACGCAAGAGGAAAAGGCACTGCCAGGAACACAAGCCTATGAAAGACAGGCTTGTTCTGTGGTAATGCTAGTGGGGATTTCAAAGAAAAGCCTTTACTGGTGTATCACTCTGAAAATCCCAGAGTGTTCAAGAAAAACAGTGTTGTCAAGACTAAATTTTGTGTGATGTGGAAGGCTAATTAATAATAAGGCATGGGTCATAAGGCAAATTTTCCTTGATTATTTCAATGAAGTGTTTGGCCCGAGTGTGAAGAAATACCTCCTGGATAATCAATTGCCACTTAAGTGCCTCCTGGTAATGGACAATGCTCCTGCTCATCCTGCAGATTTGGATGACCAATTGTTGGAGGAGTTTAGTTTCGTCACAGTGAAGTTCTTGCCCCTTAATACCACTCCTCTTATCCAGCCCATGAAACAGATCATTTCAAACTTCAAAAAACTCTACACCAAAGCAATGTTTCAAAGGTGCTTTGACGTGACCTTGGACACTGAATTGACCCTAAGAGAGTTCTGGAGGGATCACTTCAATATCCTCAATTGCATAACCCTTATAGATAAGGCTTGGCAGGGAGTGACTTCCAGGATGATGAATAACAAAAAATGGCACAATACCGTGACTGGAACGATACATATATAACCCGCACATAGAAGAGAGGAGCTTACGACGACATTTCAGTCCGACTTGGACCGAAACGTCCTCGTAAGCTCCTCTCTTCTATGTATGGGTTATTTGTGTACAGGACAATGAACTCTGCTTGGAGAAAACTGTGGCCAGAATGTGTCCAAGAGAAAGATTTTGAAGGGTTTGGGGATGACCCTGACGACCCTCTGCCTGTTGTGGAATCTATTGCGGCATTAGGAAATTCCATGGGGTTGAATGTGAGTGGCCAGGATGTAGAAGAGTTGGTAGAGGACCACAGTGAAGAGCTAACCACTGAAGAGCTGCAAGACCTTCATCTGGAACAGCAACAGACCATAGCTGAGGAAATTGCTTCAGAGGAGGAGGAAGAGAGAGGGAAGAAGGTGCCTTCTTCAGTGATGAAGGACATTTGTGGAACGTGGAGTGAGGTGCAAACGTTTGTGGAGGAACATCACCCTAACAAAGCTGTTGCAGGCCGTGTCTGCAACATGTTCAATGACGATGCCTTATCCCATTTTAGGTAAATCTTAAAGAGACTCCAGAAACAGAGCTCTCTGGAAAAATTTTTGGTGCAACAGGGGTCCAGTGACTCTCAAGCTGGTCCCTGAAGTCTTTATGGAAGGGGATTCCCCTTCCAAAGAATAATCAGTCCTCCCTCTCCCTTCCTCCCCATCTTCCATACACCAACAAGTCTTCAATAAAGGGAAGTGTGATGTTAAATGTTCATTTATACATTTTATTAGTGCTTTATATTGATTTGTCATTGCTTTATGTATGTAACTCTATATTTAATCTCTAAAAAAATTATTTTTTGTTAATACTTTTGGGTGTCTGGAATGGATTATTTAGATTATTGTTATTTCTTATGGGGAAAATGATTTCGGTTTTCGTGATTTTTGGGTTTTGCCACTCTCTGGAACAGATTAATCATGAAAACAGAGGGTCCACTGTACTGGTAATTATAATACAGGTAATCCTTGCTTGAAGAAGGGTCTAAATTAGAGTGCAGGTTTTTCTCTCTTTATCCTGGTTCATTTTGTGTGAATCTTCTATTATGTGATGTCCCACTTTATCAGTACTTTCATGTGTGATAGACATTTATCATATGTACTTGGTGCAGTTCTCAAAACATAAACATTTTTATTTCAAGTTAAGTGACAATGGTCTAAATGAGCTTAGCACATCTAGGACACATTCACTGAATAAAACCAAGTTAGGTGTACTGTACTCCTTCAGTATTTGAAGATAATGAACTTACTTGTATTGTATGTAAAATGAGGAGGGATCAGTTCAAGATCAATGTAGTCCCTGTACCCACAGTATTAGTCTAAACCTTACCTGCTATCAAAAAAAAAAAAATCTTTAATTTTTTCTTTCTTGTCTACTATTCTCTAATATAACAGAATATAAATTTTTATTATATTTATTATGTAACATGTACAGTGGACCCCCGGTTTTCGTCTGGTGCGGAAATCCTAAAATTCGGATTTCAAGTACATTTTTCAGTGAAATTATCCCCCGGGTTTTGTACATCCGCTTGGAAATCGTCCATATCAGATGCGTCCACCCACCAGGGATACTGCTTCTCACGCATACCAGACTCAGTCTGCCTCTGTCTCTCATTGAGTTAGCAATACTCAGCACGTTCATCTATTTTTTTGTGCTTGTTTATTAATTGCGACTGTGAAATAAGCCACTATGGGGCCAAAGAACGTTCAGAGTGCCAGCCCTTTGGTAAAGAAGGTGAGAAACACGACAGAATTCAAGAAAGAACTTGTAGCAAAATATGAAAGTGGCGTATGTGTGGCCAAGCTCGCCAGGATGTATGGAAGTCGACATCAACAATCAGTTCCATCCTGGCAAAAAAAGCAGAAATCAAGGAAGCTGATGTTGCGAAAGGGGTAAATATGCTAACGAAACAGATCACAAACAATCGAGAATGTGGAGTTGTTGTTGGTGTGGATCAACAAAAACCAGTTAGACAAAGAAGGGAAGTAACCCCGGATAGATTTCCCTTCCAAAGAATAACCTCAACTTCCTCTCCCCTCCTCGTCTTCTTCCATACGCCAACAAGAGTCTTCAATAAAGGTATGTAATGTTCATTTATCATTAAAATTAGTCATTTATATTTATTTCTCACTGTTTTCTGTAAGTAAAACTACAGTTATTCTCTATAAAATGTATTTTTTGTTAATATTTTTGGGTGTCTGGAACGGATTAATTGGATTTACATTATTTCTTATGGGAAATATTACTTTGGTTTTCGTCCATTTTGGATTTTGGCCGACCTTCTGGAACAGATTAAGGATGAAAACCGGGGTATTACTGTAGAAGGAAATATTGGAGGTTTTGAGTGCTCGAGGCTTGAGCATCCAGCAGGTTTATGTGAGTGTTTTTGATGGGAGTGAATGGAGCCAAGTGGTTTTTATGGTTTAGCTTGCTGTTGAAGAGTGATCAAGGTAACATTTATGAAGGGATTCAGGAAAAACTGGTTAGATGGAATCAAGTCATGGGGGTGAAAAGTACAGTACCTGCACTCTGAAGGAGGGATGCAGATGCTGCAGGGTGGAGTTTAATGAAATATGGTATCTGGAAATTTCTGGCAAGACAGTTATTGAATGAATAAATGAGAATGTGTTCCTTTTAGGGATGGGGGAGGTTACCTACATTGGTAGGTTAGCACAGGTTCCACTGTGACCACAATGCAAGTTTTTACAGATGAATCTCCTGTGCCAGTGTGGCCATGACGAACTCTAGCTATAGTCCCCTCGAACCTGTCATCATGGTTGTTTGTTTGCAAGCTTGTTATTACGATTTCTTGAGTCATGATGATGGCTTTGAAGGGACTAGAGCTGAGTCTGTCACAGCCATGCCAGTGGGAGAGTCATTTGTAAAAACTTGCATTTGTGATCACAGTGGGGCCTGTGCTAACCTCTCTATGGGGCATAAATATACCTAGTTGGATGAATCTTATTGTAGCCAGTTGTCCCAGTGGCTTACACACTGGCCTGGAGTTTTACGACTCACTCGTCACAAGTTCAATCCCTGCCCGTGGTATGGTTTGTTATGATAACTTAGTTAAATTATGATTTGCTGGCCAATTAAGATAATCAATTTCTATAACATCTGATCCTTGGAGCTTCAAGGGTGATAGCTCTGCATGACTATTTGTTAGAACTCTCATTTAATGCAGAAACCCAATATTTCACTGATAAATTCAAGATATTTGGTAAAGATAATAGAGAAAAAGTTTATTAACAAATAAGAAAAGATTTGTTTTGCATATAATAAAAATAATAATTCA